TCCCTAAATCCACTTCATTTTGCAGTGGACTGGGATTGGACGGCTAAGTGTCAACTAAGTCAGTCCTCAAGTACAGAAACTACTAGCATACTACTGAGAATGCCAAGTGTAAATGTCATAGCGCTGCTCACGGCAGATTTCAGGCAGGATTTCATATTCGCAATGTCTCAGGTGGAGAATCGTGGATGTTATACATGTCTAATAAATACCTGGGCATATTGGGAGTGCACGCCGACCTCGCGCAGCGCCCGGGACAGGTCGTGCACGTCGACGCGACCGTTGCCGTCGAGATCGAGGCGCTGGAACAGTCGCGCTAGCCGCTCCTCGTCCTGGGCCGGCAGCTCGTGCAGGTAGTGCGCCGGCGGCGGCTTCGCGACCGCGCGCGCCGCCGGCGACGCGCTTATACGCGCACCGCCGCCGTTCCCCGGCATATGTACACGCGGACGTTACACGACGCTACGCGAGGCGAAGACCAGATAAGACGGGAGACCGCGGTCGCGGTAGCGTAACGAAGCGAAGCCGTGCCGCGGCAAGCTGTATATATATGTGTACACGTACACGCACGCACCGAGCGTACGCATGTCCATGGCCGCCACACCGCGACGCACCACCGCACTGCTGCTGGAAGGTGTGCGCGCGCGCACGGGGACGCGGACACAGCGACGCCGCGAATCGGCTGGCTGCAGGTCCAGCGAGGTCGTGTCGCCACTGCGTGGCGAGAAATAACTGGTGAGATTAACGAAGGGTCTCCAGGATCTATGGATAAAGGAGAAATCGAGTCCCCAATTTCTGCACCCGAAATCTTATTAGTGTTACATTTGAAAAAACGATCTATAGAAAATGTGTTCCAGCACATCCTGCTTATTTGGAATTTTAAATTCAAATAGGATATCGCGCGTTCATTCGAAAAACACCGCCTCCCTGAAAAATATTCCTTCTAGGGGTGCGTTTCAGAAATAACACCAGAATGCATGCACCCAGGTATCGTTTTATCCTTGTTTAATATTCGATGAAAAACACGGATAAAATGATACATCCAGTATTTCTGAACTCAGCCTAGATATATTCGTGTGATCTATTCTTTGTATCTGAACTAGTGTACATTTGTTGCACTTAAAATGAAATAGATATGTTTTTGAAGTTTACAAAAGCGAGATAGAAAATTTTAGTGCAGTTTAGTGCGGGAATAGAAAACAAATCTCTAGAAGACTACATTGACGTTACTCAGTACTACTGAAAATATATAGTTCACGTCACATATATTATAAATTTTCAGTACTAGCAGTAAATATCGGAACGTAGCCCCAGTGAGTAGAGTTTTTGAACGCAATATTAAGGAGTATCTCCTAATAACACGAACAAACTTAATTGTGAAATTGATATTAGGTCTGTTCGTTATAGCTAAAATAATGCACACTCGTAATATTTAAAATGAAATAGAAATATGTTGAAATTAAAGTTGAAATTAAGTTAAATTGAAATTTGATGAGAAACAAAATTTTGGGTAAAAAATTATTTAAAATAGTCTTGTCACCTTCGATTTTAATAAAATTAGACTTAATCGACGCGGTTTCGCTCAAAATAAAAGAATCTGGCAGAAAAACGCAGCGGTCTGCCTTGGTTGCGAACCAAGATATTAAATGAAATATTAAAATTTTAAATTATAAATTATAAAATTTTAAAATTTGAAAATTAAAAAATTTAAATTTGAAATTAAAAAATTTAAATTTGAAATTAAAAAATTTAAATTTGAAAATTTAAAATTTTAATTTTAAAAATTTAATTTTACATTATTTTAAATTTTAATATTTAGAATTTTAAATTTTAATTTAAAATTTTAATATCTCGCTTAATATGTTGGTTCGCAATCGAGACAGACCGTCGCGTTTTCCTGCCAGATTCTTTTTATTTTGAGCGAAATCGTGTCGATTAAGCCTAATTTTATCAAAATTGGAGGTGACAAGATTATTCTAAATAATTACCTTTGCCTATAAAAAATTCAGCATAGTGATATACATTCTTATTAAATAAAGTTACATGCATATCAGGCTAAATTCGAGATCCGTGTTTCATCCAAATAATCGTTTATCTGTATAATTACATGAGAATTATTAGTAAAAGTATCACATCTACATCTAGTTGTTTGTTCACAATGGTTTGTATTAAAAAAATGTTAAATTTTTATTGACTATTTTAATTTTGTTTAAATTATTATTTGCTTTTTAATCTTGAGTCTGTTACATAAATCAAATATTAAATTACTAATAGTTCCAAGTTGCGTAAATATTTAGCACAAGTCATTTCGTATGTAGAACATACTTCATGAATACACACTACTTAATAATAAATCTGTTTTTATTTTCTGTTTTCATTTTAATCAATTTTAAATATCAATTTAATTTTAAATATATACGAGTTTAGTTATAAAATAACACAGAATTGAAGCAAGTAGATATTTTCCAGTATACTTTTCATCGAATGGACAATGGTTTCTGTGAAAGCGATGACCAATCAATCCCCCCATAAGTATCTGTTATTTCCGGAGTAAGCGAGAGACCGATTGGCTGCAGCCTCGCTCGCGCTGCCTCGGTGACGTCATCCCTGTGCACAATCAGAGAAGCGGCTCATTTCGCGTTCCCCCACCGTGCTGTCCGCTGTCCAGCTGTCGAGCAACCGTTTGGCAGCAGTCGGCGAAAATTTTCCTTGATCGCGAGTGATCGTGAAGGTCTCGCCAGAGTAAAAGAAAGCGAGCGCTGAGTCCGCGTCCGAGGAGAAAAGAGAGGGAGCTAAGTACGCGCTTGGTCACACGCTCGGTTCAAGTGGCCCAAATTGGAGAATACGGACGGGTGATTGTCGGCCGTCATTGCCGTTCGCATCTTGCAGTCATCGGACTGGGAAGGACGTCGTGCGTTCGTTTATAACAGTACCGCGCGAGAACAGAACGGCCTTCACGGACACGACATAACAAAAGGCAAAGGACGAGACAAACAGCGGGCTCTCGTTCTCTCGCTCTCGACCTGTCTCCCTCTACCTTGGTCTATCTCCTCCCTCTCTCGTGCATTCTCTTTCTTTCTCTTTCACTCGTCTCGTCTCGTCTCGCTCGCCCTTTCGTTCGCTCACTCGCAAACGTCGCAAATCCGGGGTCTCGTAAGAAATAACCCTCGTTTCGTTTCGCGCGCGTGAAAGAAAGAGAGGATCTGGTGCGTGTGCTACGTAAATTTCTCACGCGTTAGAACGCGCGTGTGGGTGCTATCATTGCTTTCATCGAGCCTGTCGCGCTGATAGACAACGCGCGCAAAGTGCGAAGGTAGAAGGAGATCGTCATCGTCATTGTCGTCGCCATCGTCGTCGCTGTTACTATCGTCGTTGCCGTCGTCATTGCCGTCATCGTCATCGTCATCATCAGTCACACACGCGCGTGTACGCATCTATACCCGCGTGAGGAAGAGCCCCTTCGCGCGTGATCAGCCATCATCGTTCACGGAAGTTAACGGGGAGACCATTCGTAAGGGATGTCTACCCCTGCGAGGAGGAGATTGATGAGAGACTTCAAGAGGTACTTGATGTATGACGATATCAAACGTGTCGTCCCGTCCGCCTGTCCATTCGTCCCACCGTCCGTCTATTCGATCGCGCTCTCGGCGTGACGCCATTGTAAGCGCGGTGGCTCCTGGTGCGCCCGATTCTCGGACTTGATTCGGAGTTGATCGAGTCGAGTCGGTCCTCGTCGAGGATCTCGCGTGCACGGAGGCTCAGCACCTTCCGCGCGCGAACGTCAGCCGGATTTATTATTAGAAGCGCGTTTCCTCGTCCTCCTCGATGTGTCTCTCCCGCATTTGCCCTCTGCCGCCTTCCCCCCCTCTCCTTCTGGCCCAATAAAACAAACCGTTCTCCATCCTGTCGATGATCCATGCATCATCACGATACGTTCAATCATTACTAGAACAATCAGACGAATCTTTATGATAATCACATTTGGGCATTTCATATTCGCACATACTTGTGTAATAAAAAAAAGGTTTTTTTTTTTTGGATCTTGGAATATTTTATATAATGCCTAACTCGTAAAACAAATTATGAATAAAATGAATCGTCATTTCTTATACATATACAATTGTAGATAATATAAATATTAATAATTTGAATAGGTAATTATATTATTTTTAATATTTTTTTATATATATATACAAAGAATAAAGATAAAATTTGTTTGTGTTATTGTTTGCAATATTCTAAAAATTATTTTTGCAAAGATTACAGGAAGATCCTCCAACTGGAGTATCAGGTGCTCCGACAGACAATAATATTATGATATGGAATGCAGTTATTTTTGGGTAAGACAATATGATTTTTTATTACATTTGCTCTTTGATAACATTTGCGTCTTGTTATGTCTCAAAGAAAAATTTACATTTATAGCACTATAGCATTTATATTTGTATACTTAACAAGGTCATTGCAAAAATTATTAAAATTATTCTATGCTTATAAAATATGCTCATAAAGTGACAAGATTTTTTTCAAGTTTAAGAGCTAAGAGATAAGTTTAAGAGCTAAGAGATAAGATAAAACATTTTAAATGTATAAAAGTTCTTCATGGATGAATGTTTATGTTTTAGACCACATGATACTCCATTTGAAGATGGCACATTTAAACTTACAATAGAATTCACAGAAGAATATCCAAACAAACCACCTACAGTGAGATTTGTTAGTAAAATGTTCCACCCCAATGTATATGCGGACGGTGGAATATGCCTTGACATACTTCAAAATCGTTGGAGCCCTACTTATGACGTCTCGGCCATCTTAACATCTATACAGGTACTAAGTTTTTTCCTTTGTCGTAAAATTTATTTTAATGTTTCTTGTTTTTTCCTTGACGTTTTTTAAACAATTGGTGATGCAATTTTACGAGAAATGTAGAGTTTAATGGATATAGGGAGAGATTTATTTCTTTCTTTACAGCATCTTATATACAGATCTTCCATTACTTCCTTAATCATTATTATTCCATAAAAATATTGCATAAAATTATAAAAGAAGACATTGGGATATGCCATTCCAATATCATATGCCATGGGATACAATTCAAATTTTAATTTAGAATCATTTCACAATATAATTTAATATATATCTTTTTTTCTCAACTCATATTTTTTTTATTCATAAATTATGAAGCCAAAAATATTTTGCATGGCAATTAATGAATGTAGCAAGAAAAATAAAATATGGATGTTGGAAAATGGATGTTTTATTTTCTAAATCTTGCATTATGATTTTTTTTTATTTTTTTTGTCTTTGCATTTTAGGATCTGTATCGTTCATTGTGTCGTCTTTTCTAAAAATATGTTTGTATGTTCCTCATTGAAACATTGTTTCCAAGAAATTTCTCTTACTAATCATGTGATAACGATGTCTCAAGAATCGTTTGATTTGTCTTAACAGCGGTTGCAATTCAGCAAAGTCTAATTACATAATACTTATATGAAAATTATTTATGTGTAACATTTGCATACATTTACATTTATGTGTAACTCTACTTTCGATCGCTGGCGCCAATACGCATCTTTGATTTCTTCCATACTAATTAGCGGATAAAAGAAAGAGGTGAAAAAGAAAGAAAAGGCGGGTTATTCTTATTTATTTATTACTATCACGCGACCATGCACTTTGTCAAAAAGGCTAACGGAAAGATTATTCTCCGAAGTGTAATGAAATACGACTTATGTGATTGCAGTCGCTGTTAAGTGACCCGAACCCGAATTCTCCTGCCAACTCAATGGCAGCGCAACTGTACAAAGAGAACCGACGCGAGTACGAGAAACGAGTGAAGGCTTGCGTGGAGCAGAGTTTTGTGGATTAGTTGCGGGCGTTAACGCGATGCTGTTGTCGCAGCATCAGTCAGCTACCAACAGCCATCAGATACAGGGGAGAAGAACGTGCAGCCTTACCAAGGAGCTAACGTTAAAAACAAAAGAAAAAGGAAAACAAGCCTAGCGTGTTTCTTCCTGAAAGCTCTATCGAACTACCACACAACAATGTGCAACGTTAGACCGAATTTTTACAATGTTGAATAATAAATTATTATAAAATTGCGTATTTATTTATTTCGAATATCTGATGATACACGAAATTAGTTACTATATTAAATGTTAGAGTATAAAAAATACCTGGCTTGTCTCTTTTGTTTTCTTCATTTCCTTTTT